CCTACACAGCGATTTCAACATGGTTGTATGATCATCCTGCCACAATTCACCAGCCACTCGGAATGTACGACAATCCGCATGTAATCCCACGTGGATCTATCAATGATCCAACCATACTTGTAAGAACCTTGCATACTTAAGTGGCATACCTGGAGTGACTGGACTGCCATGCTTGGCGTGCCCTACCGTCTTTGAACTAGTGTTGAGTCGGGCACGCCAGCCACAGATACAAGGAGCCAAAATAACTGTTTAACAAAAAAAAGCACACAAATGTAGCTGTTCGTGTTTGTCGCTGATTTCCGCTTTATTTTCACATGTGTTTTGCTTTGTTTTCGCATTTTTTCGCCTTTTTTATGTTTTCTTTTTCCTAGGAGCGTACAGCAAATATTGCTGACGGGTAAAATTTCTCATAAGTGCAGAAGTTGTACCAGGAAAAAAGCAACAAAAAGCAACACAGATGCAAAAACAAAGCAAATTGCGCTGCTTTTGCATTTTCATTTGCTTTTATAATAGTTTTGTTGCATTCTTTTCACAAAAAACTATATTTGATGGTTGGTCATGTATGGCTGCCATTGCTCAACACAAAACTAGTGACTATACTTGGAGTCTCAGTCAGTCACAGAGCGCGCCTGCCCTTCGAGAGAGGACGCTCCGCCCCTGCAGGTTGCTACTTTGGTCGACAACTTTAGGAGTGAGTGGGAAACCTTCCAGCCTGTCAACGAAGAGTTGCAGGTGGGGATGTCGACGATGAAGTCGGTTTCGCAGCTGACCGAGGCGGTTCCCGTGAGACCACAAAGCCATGCATGCCCATAACTAGCTTGGTTTGATGTAGCTCTGTGCAATATACGGCTGAAAGGGAAAGCTTCATGATCTTCATGAAATGAATCCAGAAGCATGGGATAGCATGGGTTGAATCTGTTTTGGTACTCCTACGCCACTCTTTGAGCAATCCTGAAAACGAAACATGACACCAGAGCATCTCTGTGTCTGTGTAGTTTTTGTCGTTCACGTCCCGGCCATATGTCGGTCGGAGGTCTTGGCGGCAGAGACCGATGTTCTCACTGAAAGAGATCAGCGCATGTCGGAGCTGTTGGAGCGGATGTCCAGGAGTCCGCCCGGAAATCAGGGAAATCGGGAAAGCCATGCTTCCGGTCGATCTTTCTGTCAAAGGTTGCGTTGTGATCAACTTTCAGTCTCAACATATTCTACCAACATCTGCCAACTGATGGCTATGCAACAGCTACATATTATTGCACTCCCTTTTATCTGCCAGGTAAAAACAGGTTTCACCAGCTTCGGTGTTGCAATGGGACCAACAACAGACACCAGACCCAAAGGGTGGGAACCCCCCGACCTGGCCTCGAGGTTTGTAAACGTGTTGACCCGGCGGAAGGAAGTTGGACTTCTTTGATGAGACCTTGGGGAGCAATTTGCAGCGCTGGGGTTGACCGCCAGCGCTCGCGGCCTAGATGCGCTCGATTCCAAAGCCAGAGTCGCCAGCCTGTTTTTCACTAGGTCAACCAACAGGGTCTATACATGAGCAACCACTTATATTCATTCTTTACAGTAGTCTACGCCATGCTCTAGTTGTTTGTCCAACATCAGTTTCGATGGTGAACGAGATCGGGCAAAAGTAGTCTGAACGAGATACGGTGATTTGCCAGTAAAGTAGTCTGAACGAGATACTGTGACACGACCCCCTGTACAGTACTTACTGCAAGTAGTCTAAACGAGATAGGGCCCACATAGTAGATATATAGACAGTGTATTTGATTTTAGGAATGAATTAATGCCGCCGCTCATATGTCTACCAATGGGATTTTTGGGGTGTTCGTGATTGAACTGTATAATTTTGAGTTGACCTGGTATGTCTCCTGCTGAAAACGTAGAACGAGATATGCATTGCACGGTCGGATTCGCAAGATCACATGGACCTGGTGGAATCGGACACATGACAGTGTGGATGACAAGAGCGTTGTCTTCCACGTGGGTCGTTTTTTTTTTTTACGATCGTCATACCCTTACTTACAAAGAACATAAATATATTACAAAAATTATAGACAATACTATATTAATATATAATATGTAGATAGAGGTACCATTTCGCACTGGGGACAATACGACTATGAGTTCCACATAGTTCCACCCATCATGAGGCATCGCTCTTCGTGGAGGACCATCCCAATATATACCACTAGGAGTGCAGACCATGGCTCAGGTGCTCGAGACTTGTGGCTGGAGCGGTCATCGAAAATGACTAGTTCCTTGCCTGAGCCGCATATTTATAGATGGTGGTGCTTGAAAGTTAGATGCACGCAGAAGGGGCTGTAGATGCTGTAAATGCTCCAACGAAGCCAAACGAGTAGTCAACCAGTCAACACTGGACGATAAATCCGCAGCTATGCAGGTAAGATGAATGCACTTGGACATTTTGCCCAACAGCGGATCCGACATGGGGTGGACAATCTCACTGGGGATTAGGACTGTGCCGCCCGCTGGGTGTGGGCATGCACCGTGGACTGGAGATAGGCCCAAAACACCCAGCAGTGCATTCCAACTCCTTTTAGGGAGCCCAGTGTTGCGAGGTGAACGGGGCTTGTTGAGCTGAATGGGCCTCATGCTCGCGGGGAAAGACGCTTGCGAAGCAGGAGCCCAGGCGTTTCTTTCCTGCCATCCTTTGAGCAAGCCCCAGTGCATCCCGGTGCTACTATTGCTTTTCGCAGCAAGTTTTGGTTGGCCTCCACAGCACCCACGGCGTGCGCAAGTCGGTTTCCTCCTTCTTGCTGTCTCTGTGCTTCCACTATGCCTCCGCCTCGACTTCACCAAACGCTGACCGTGCTGACTCAACTATTTCCAAACAATCTCAGGGGAGCACTGCAACCGGTCGTCAGAAAACGATGAAATTCCGAAGCCAGGCATGTATTCATTTTTGCGCTTGGGGCGCTGCTCCGGTTGCGTGTTTTGCTGTGAGCTTGACCGGGCATTTTGTCTCTGCGCTCCCTTTTTGGGTCAGACTTGTTTGAGAAGACTGTGAGCAGTCAACCATCCTCTGAGAAGAGTTGGAAGCTTGACATGGTAGCAAGCCTTCGAGGATTCTGAGGGTGAGGGGCAGACCCTGTGAGAGAAAGGACAACTGTTTGTAGGATCAATGAGGGGAGCCATTCTGCAGCACCAGAAAGTCCGACACTTGTGTAGTCGTAGCGTGCGCGCTGACGGGAACATTAGACATTTTTGCATAGGTGTGTTGCCTTCTTAGAGAGCGACGCCGACTTCTCAGGCTTTTCTCGCAGAGGACGCGCTGTACTCACCTTGTCCACCATGCCGAGCTTTGCCACCAAGCCTTGCGTCCACTCGCGGCCTTTCTGCCGTCGCTGCTTCGCTTATAAGCCGCTGCTTTCTCCGCAAAATAAACCACTGAGTCATCTGACGGTGAGGAGGATGGACATGCAGAAAGGGACCATCCTACAGATGCCGAGTGTCTTCGCAAGCCAATGACACAGCCCAGCACTCTCTGACTGCAGAACAACCTAGATAATCGTGTTCTATGCACTAAGCTCTCTGAAGTCGAGCGCTCGTAGAAAAGTTGCACGCAACTCGAGAGGGGCGCGGCGACCTTTTTCGACGCTCCGATTCGAGTCTCCAACTGGAGGCTTCGGCTTTTTCCACGGAGGGTGTGCGCAGCACTCCAGTCGCATCAAGCTATGGCTTCCTCAGGACGCCCCAGTAGGGCCGCCGCTCCGGTAAGTCCCGATTGCTACAATGCTGCCCAGCAAGCACGACAGCGCCTCAAAATCTTGGAAGCGCCCCTGTGTTTGACGTCCTTATCGCTGCACGATGTTGAGTTGCTTTTGGTTCTCATGGTAAGCATTGTTAGGCTATGACCATGCTGACGTGTGCCCTATGAGAAACCTTCCGTGAGAATCATCAATTGTCAGTTGGGGCTCAGCTGAGATAATCTTTACAAATGGAACTTCAAGGGAAACCGGGCCAGTCAATGAAGGTGTATTAGTAGTGGACACTTTACGCAAATTGGCAGTGCACTGCAGAATAGGTTTCCTGCAGGGAAAGGGACCATGTGACCATGATGGATTTGGACTTGGATCATGAAAATCCACGAATTATGGGACACTACAGAATCCCCGTAAGCATGGCAGCGTCCCATTTTGCGCAGCGAACTCAATGCATTGACGTCAAGCTTTCCAGCCCACCAGTTTGCATTTTGCCCAGTATGCTGCGGCCGTGAAATATTTCCACATGACTATGAGCGCAAGGGGTTGTCAGTGGTAATGGGCCATGGCATGACATATCACATGGACCGAATCGACCGAAAACTCACAACACGCGACTGTCACACACCGACGAAGTCATTGGGGCAAACAGATGCATATTCCTCAGTGGTCACTGAATTTGCACGCGACTCCACAACGGTGAAAGAATAAGAACAAAAACCTGTGGCTGACAACCCCAGCGTGGCAGTCATTTTGCACCGTGTTCTTCACCTTGGTTTCAAACGAAGCCAAGAGTAGAAGAGCGTCGCGAGCAGGGGTTGTCAAATTTTGACTTCAACCACTGCCATGTTGTGCCACAAGAAGGCAGCTTTCAACAGATCAGTCAGGTTCTCGGCTGATGAAAGACATGAGTGAGTCTCAACCGGGGCAAGTGGGCACACATGAAGCTTGGGCGGGTGATCAAAGGTCTCCCATCATAATTTTCCTGCGGGAACGATGGACACATCATGGAACAGTTTTTGTCAAGACATCCCCATCGCTTTCGGCTCAATGAATGACATGGAAGAAAAGATCTGAAACACAAAGTCTCGGGAAGGAGTTAAGTACGCCTTGTGAGTTTGATATAGAAAGGCTTGTAAGTGGCTGTAGTACATCATCGCATGCCAAAAGGTTTTACCAGACGAAACATGTCATGTGGACAACTTGGAAATCTGGAAAGCAACAGTCGCGACACTTGCACACAAAAAGACACCAGCACAAAGCTCTGGCATTGTTGAAGACTCCACGTTCTAAAGCTCGTGCCATTTGGCAGCTTCTTCCAATGCTTGCGTTTTGCTATGCGGCCACTGGGCCAGAACAAAGTTGCTGTATTGCCCAGCTGGCCCAGCTGGTAGCTGTTAGTTGAACTGCATTTCTGTGCTGACATCCGACAGAGGTTTCGAACTCTTCAGCATACTCTTCAATCTTCACAGCGCGAGCCTTATTTCGTGGTGGACCCATGGTCGACCAAACCTGGACGAACGTGGACGCCATGCTGTCCGTGGCTCCCCTGGGCGAGGTTCTCCACGCTGTCCGAAGCAGCTGTATGTCACGTGCTCGTGCTGGCGCCTTCACAGGTGGCCAACGAATCGGAGCCGAGGGAAGAGCATAGACCTGTGATAGAACTGAGTCCAGCTGTGGGCGTAGCCAAGCTTTACAGCTTTCTTTTTTTGGAGTGTTGGAAACCTACTGGCTGCTACTGGACATGCTGGAGCCTTTTTTTCCTGGTCTGATGCTGATGATTGACTTGACAATGATTTGCGCTGGAGGCCTGGATAGACTTGGTGCAGACAAGGCGCTGCGACCTCGTGGTAGGGATCTCTTTGGAATGAACTCTGGAGATGCCCAAGTCCTTTTGGTCTTTTTGGTGTCACTCTTACTCTCGGAAAGCCACAGGAATCCCAGATTACCCTGAATTTTTAATGCATTTCTAGGACTGACTTATAGCAGCTATATGTGTATATATATATATATAATGCAGCTAATACCACTTCCAAGGAACCTTCGGGTTGACACGTTCGGGAGGCAAACCACCCACCGAACGTCATACCCCTTATTTCAACATAATACCCCTTATTTCAACGTAAACCCGATGGGGAGTTCCATGATGCACATTGACCGTTCGAACGGACCGGTTGAAGCGCATTGTTGAAAGCACCATGGACCATTCAGCCATGTGAAAAATGGTTTAGCAGTGAAAGGGGGTCAAACCCACGCGGGGTCTCCGACACCACTCCTCAAGAGTTCACTAACACCAAGCTTTCAAAGAAAGCCATGTTTGTCCCAAAGCTCAGTTGAAAATTGCAGGGAAGACTGAAGGTAGGAGTAGCTTTGCCTGCGAGGCGACGGCAGATCCCAACCTCTGCCTTGGTGGAATGCACGGGGCTCAGCAACAAGGCTTTATAAGAACATTTATAAAATCTACTAGTAACAGTATTCAGTATCAAGGTTCTACATTCTGCAACACAAGTACGGCGTGTAGTATTCAGTTGTCTTGTATGGGTATATCGGTCCGTATATTAGTATTGTATTGATACATTGAAATCCTTGTACTACACAGGTGTGATTGCTTGCTGGATTATTTGTTGTGCATGATCCGAGAACGGCTCTTGGCCTCTTGGCCTTCTGCTAGTTTATCATCTCTTGCATGTGTCAATTGCTCATTAATTTGACTTGTGCATCTCTTGCTGACCACCAATGAATGCCACCTTTTTCCGAATGCTGCAACTCGACCCTGCTGCTTTGCTTTACACGTTGTGAGTTGCCTCATGGCTTTACTAGTAGCAGCTAATGCTGGTGCTTTAGTCATCCCACAGTAGGAGGCGTTTATTTTGAGAAAAGCAGTTGATCCTCAAGCAAAAATCAGCAAGTTTGAAGTTGACGCTGTGATGTGTAATTTGCACTGTGTGCTCATGTAGTACTCAGTAGACTCAGTAGAGAGTAAGCAGGGAGTGGCTGCAGCAGCTTTGTCTAGCAGAGAAGACTGCGGAGACCGCGAACACTGTGGAGACGACGGCGTAGATTGTAGCTGTTGTAGGAGTCTCAGAGTAAATGGTGCCACTTGAGAATCCTAATGATCCTACACAACCCTCTGTGCTGGTCATGCTACTCGTGTGGGCTTTGGAACGAGCCGTGGTTTGGCATGGTTTTGCTGGTGGCCCTCCGCCGGTGGCCTTGCGGGCGATGATCTCTCGACAGGCTGCGATGAGCTCTCGCGTGCTCGCTGCCATGACTTTGACCTGTGGAAATCTCTCGGCGAGGAGCCCCTTGGTTGAGAGAACACAGGATTTGGCCGGAAAAAGAACTTCGATCGAAATACTGGGTGATCGAGCCAGCGATTTGGCACATTGTTGGAGTTGTGTTGATCCGAAAATGAGGCATTGTTACTGAATGATTCAATGAGAACGTTTTTTAGATCCAATGCCATCAAATGTGGGACACGGTCAGCAACTGGCGCCATCATGGCCTCACCGTGGTTCAAAACCCGAGTCTCACTTGCCCCAGGCTAACATGTCGACTCACTTCTGGCAGGCGCCTCTGCCTCAAAGAGGACTTGTACTGTAGCTATGAATGGTCAACTTTTGATGTTCTCACAGAACAAGTCAGGAAGCACATGCTCGAAATTTGGTATATTATATAATAGATATGCACTACGGGTGAAACTTCACTGAGGCGCTCAAGCTCTTGCCATGGCAGCTCCTACTGCATCAGCCTCAAACGAACAGGTTCATTGTCAAGCAATTGTCTTGGAAATTGCTGCATGTCTTATTATTGCTGTTGGGTTGAAGTTCCTTGTCTAGCCTTCCACCACCATGAAGAAATATCACACAGGCAAGCAAAAACGTCGCAAGGTTAGCGTGTCAGTATCGAACAGAATCGCACGCGATAGCACTCAAGACGTGCAATGTTGCTATAGGCATTGGAATCTGTGTCAGTCCTCACTTCTTTCGCCGGAGTCTTTTGCCGCCGACAGCTTAGAGCCGTTTGGGGTGGCGGTGGTGATCAAGTGCGGCAACATACAACAGCTGTAAGTGGTTGAGGAATGTTGAGGATATTGCTGCACACAGAAAACAGCAAGACTGATGGGCAGTGCCGATGACGACGAGGCTGAGGATGGTCAAGATATGTCAAGACATATTGCACAGAGGATGCTAAAATGTATCTAAAGGTCACAGTTGACAGTTTTTTTTTTTTTTTTTCAGAGAGCGTTTTAATTTGGATTTCGGCTTGATATACTGTAACTTCGGCGAGATCTGGTAAACGAGTAATCTACGATCCACTCTTGGATCCAGTTGTGCTGCTGATTGTCTTTGTCAAGACTCAGTCTGAAACAGGACAGCAAAACCATCAAACATGTTTCCATCATTTCCATCCATGTGTTCTCATTTTCAATGTGGTAGCATCACACATTTCAGGTCACCGTCGACTCCTTGATGCTCTAGAGTTGGAGACTTATTTGTTGAGCGACAGAGTGGCTTGCAGTTCTTCGGCGCCCATCAATAATAGTATAGTGAGAATAATACATATAATATCTAATGTCTATATAATATGAGATAAGTAATTTTATAGTTACTATACTATATTACATTATTAAGCGAAATTAAGCGTATTAAATGTTCATTCTTTCTTTTGGGAGAGGGTTCTAAGTGTTTCTTATAGTTTCCGGGTTTGACTCAGTGCGCCAGAGAGCTTGGGCTGTCCAAGTCACCGGTTGGAAGCGGTCTCCATGGGTTGCGTGGCGCCTTCCGAAGCGGAATCGGTTCAGGACATCGGAAGCGCCCGTTGCTCACAGCCGATCAGGTTCTGCCGGAATGATCCATGGAGCGAAATGGCCAAGTTTGGATGGTTTTCCTCTTCTGTGACTGCTGATGGGCAAGAATCGATGATAAGCCCACGACACGGCTTGGGGTTGGGGGTGGCGATGTTCTTGTGGTCTCGCCGACGACCCTGGCCGGTCGGGAATGAACCTGCCTCGGTCGGTCAGTTCGGCTGGTTGAAACCAGCTGCCTCCAATGGCAGCACGCCCCACAGTCGGCACAGTCGGCACAGTGAGGGGCACTGTGCCTTTGGCGAAACAGCTTTTCCCGACTGCTACCTGCATTGTGCATGACCTGTTTAACTGAACAAATCATTGCCCAAAGATTGCGAAAGAACAGATTCCACTCTGGATTATGTGTAATTAATAGTTCACATATTAATATGTACGTTCATGCTTAGCTTCACTGTGCTGACGTGTTCACATCCCTCACAAATAGCACGTGTAACCATCTGAGGTCTCGGAGAGATGCCGAAGGCTTGAGGTCTTTGCACACCATGGAGCTCAAGCGTCTACTTGTGGCCTGTGGACAGTGCGGCACTTGACAACAGCGAGCGTGGTTTGCCTGTCACTAAGACACTAAGCGAAGTGAATGGACGTGAAAACAGATCGCCGCAATGGCAGGTCTTTCTGTCGGCCTTTTGCTGTTTGCCCATTAGCTGGCGCTGCTGTATACGACATGTTGAAGCTCTATATGGTTGGACACACCGAAACACTGATGCATTCCGTTGGCGTTCCAGCATGTTAGACCATGCAAGAATGGAAGACCATTTTTTTTCCATTTCTAGCCCAGCTTCAGGGGAGGATACCTTGAGTCATACCAATCAGCAATCTCAAAGCACATGTGCAGAACAGCACACGAGCAGACTGAGAAGACCCGGTATGAGAAGCACCTGCGGAGTCTTTTCAAGACGACGCGACGTTCGACGTTCCGCACACCGCACGGCCAGCGAAGACATACGCCATGGGAAGGACACGTGGCCCGTCGAGGTCGCTCGTCGAGGTCGGACCTCGGCCCGGTCGCTTCGACCTCGAGAGCCGGAGCCGCTCAGCGAGAAGAGGAGATCGACCGGTGGAGGAGAGAAGACCGGGCATCGGTCGTCGGCTGATGTGTGCATCGTGAGAAAACGACATAGAACGACTGGAGATCGCCCAATGACTCGAACTGGATCCAAATGCTGTGTTCCCCTCTTCCAAGGAGTTGTTGGAGAGCGCTGCAGATGTTCTTTTGTTTTGGTCTTTTGGTTGATGGCCTGTGGACAAGACGTTAAGCCCGTAGTTGAAGCAATATTTGGCCAAACCCTGGAGGAGATCGACTGCAACCAACTGAGATTGTCCCAAAGCTGCGGAGGCCCCTCGGCGAATCATGCTCCGCTCGAAAGATGGTTGATTTTTTGTTTGGACAAATCTTTTGACACACTATGCCTTGTGACAAACTTTGCCCTCCAGGTGCTTCCGCTGACTGTCGAGAATCAACGAGGAGTTTGGACCGCAAGGCACAGCAGATCATAGCACTTTCGCGGTGAAACACATGAAAGACTTGGATTCATGTGGTCATGCACCTTCTGAACTGAGTCTTCCTTGATTGAATTAGCTGGGTTCATTCTCTTCGATTGCAACACAAGTAGCTGTACTTGGTAGCTGCACTTGCTTGGGATATCGCATGATATCGCTATTGTGACCATGTTTCATAATACGCTTCACTTTTGGAGTTTGTTGTACATCTCCCCCTCTCCCTCTTTCTCTCTTCATCTCTCCTTGTCATGTCTTCATCCGTGGGCGGAAAGGAACAAAAATTGGCAAAACATCGCGTGCAGCTGGCCGCTCTACAGCGCACGTGGCTTGGCTGCAGTTCATTTGATGCTTCATTTCATTTGATGCTTCATCGGGTTCTTTGCAACTGCACACACATATCTCATAGTTATGAGATCCAGAGTGATTTGAACACTGAGTTTGTATTTGTCGGAGCACTGTCACACTGTGTACGGCAAATTCAGGAGTTGCAGCTCCACCATTGAGTCTTTTCCAGGACTGAGACCATGTTGTTTGTTCGCACAAATTGGTTTCATGATGCTTACTGCCTTCAAGCATTCATGTGCCACTTGGGCACCCTGCATATAAGGCGCCTAAGGCTTTCATGACGTTTACCAAGTATGTCAGGAAAATCCGAACCAAGACCTCAAAAGGACCGATTTGTGCGGCACTTGTGATGCAGCCAGTGCAGACAATGTGCTTGTTTTTATATGGATCGACAAGAAAATGGCACCGAGGTGAAATTGGATCCTTTGAATGCACCAACAAGCCTCGCTTGCCGATTTGCTGCGTCTCAGCTAGTTTTGGGTTTTAGTACTGACAGACATTAAAGCAGCTGAAGCGCAAAACATTAAAGACAGTGGTGTGCTACCTGCACAAGATGTGAGGATCTACCTGCACAAGTGCCACGGCTACGAGTCGGGATTTTCAATGCCTTTCCAAGTCGTGTTCTGCCACATCCTGGGGCAAAATGTTTCTTGGCTTCATGGGATGTTCTTATATAGGGGAGTTGAGCTTCGGAGAAGGACGTTTCTCACATATTACCATTTTCTCCGTCTGCAATCCAAAACTTGTGGCGCTTGATCCATGTGACCCATCTTAGCTTGGATTTGGTCAACTTGTTTTTGCTGCTCTGCTGCATGTAAAGAGCAGCTGGGGAAACCTTCAGAAGTGCTTGCAAGCGCTTTGAACTGCTTAAAGTTCGAAATCAAGCACCGTCTGCAAAACCACAGATCAAACCCCAAAAGCATCACTAAATTAAATAACACCGGACCCGACAGGTGTAGGAGGGGCTTGGAAGAACGTCCTAACAACCTGATGTGTGCAATCTACTTTCGTCTTTTTGGATCTATGAATTGGATCCCGGCAACCTAATGCACTAATTTGGTTTAGTTTGGCACAATTGAAGCCGGTAGTTTGCCGTTCAATGAGTGCCAGGCCCAATAGGCTTCTCTATTTTGCTCCAGACTGTTGATGGTGCAGAATGACGTTGCTAGTTGAAGCATTTTCATTCAAGAGCCCTATTTACATGTGTCATGTCTCCTGTCACGTATGGAATCGAGGTGCTTCCTTTCTAAATTATCTACATAACGAATAATCTATATTAACACTGTCTTTAGAGAAACGGTCTTGAGCGCTCAGGCTGCAGAGTTGCATTGATGTCATCACCTTGGTTTTACAGCAAGGTAGGGCAAGCTGATGACTCTACTGTAGTTTCTTCAAAGTTTCGAAAGTTTCATGTGGTGAACTGTGGTGGACCATGTTGGACCATAGTGGACCAAGCAGGTTGGAGAAAGCACCATGTGTTGCACATGTTCCACATCGGCATGTTCTGACTGGACTGGATCTGCTTCTTCGGAACGTGGTAGGCTGTGGCTCGCTTCATTTGGACTCATCCAGTCCAAATGGACAACGGTCCGTGGCTGAGCCGCAGCCTGAGTGCCATCATCGCCTTGAAGCAAGCTTATATATATATTATCTTGCACCACAGTGTGCCAAAATTTAGTGTGGCTCCGCCAGTGTCGGATCTTTTTTGCTGAAGCACTTCTCGTGTCAAGCCGGACCGCGCCGGACTGCTTCATCCTTTTGACCGTTCGTGTTAAAGCAAGTACAGCTTCATCTTGAACACAAACAAAACGGGAGGACAGTCCACAGTTCAGCCACTTCCCCGATTCGCCGACCAGAGAATCGTCCGGTCGGATGTGTTGAGTCGCTGAACGAGGCTTTCTGCCCCCAGTCAAAGTGGAGCTTCTGCAGGCGTGAATTGCCCACACCGTGGAAGAAAGCGCATGAAACGAATGTGGGTGTGTATTCTTATATTAGCGTGGTCTGCCTATTTTAATACACACCCATGTGGAGTGTTCACATGATGTTCACATGTTCACAACAGTCTTCATGGTGTGCGCGCCGCAAGATTGCCATTTCAAGAGGCTGAAATCGATGCTCAGACAGACAACAGCAAACCCCCAAAAGTTATCATGCGACAGCTCACTGTTCTTAAAGCTTTCTTTTAGACAACATTGGATACTTTGTACAGAGACTGTATCATTCACATCTGTTGCACCTTCACAATGCCCGCATTCATGTCCTTGCTCGAAAGGCAGAGGATCTCTGTGCGGGACGCCTTCGCCGACCAACTGGACCATACAGTGCTGTGCCAATCCACGCCATGGCAGAAATGGGCTCTTTCAGCCGTTGAGACGCTATTTTTTCACATGTTCTTAGGTGGAGGCTACGATGTCTTCCTGGTCCCCGGTGGGTCTGTCAAGGTGTGGGCAACAGTTCTTTGCTGAAGCCAACTGTGGAAATGACGCCTGACCTTTCAATTGACATAGCAGTGATTGCTTCTCTCATGGTTCTCAGAAGTGATTTGCGTTGGAATCATCCAATGTTGCCACTTCAATAATGCATGGTTGGGATTCATCCACCCTCCAACTTGTTTATGTTTGAAGATGTTCGACAACTTTGTTTGTTTGACTTGACATACTTGGGCAGCCAAGGTTCTTGATCGTTTGTAACAGTTTTGCTTGACTTGTTCTATTGCACAGCCTTCGTTTTTGGATTGACTCAGGCGGATTTGCGAGCGCTCGGCAACGAAGGCTGTGCAGCAATACGGCGCTTTGTGCAGAGCGGTGACCTGGATGCATCCAGAGCGTTTGTCGATCGGGCAGTTGGTTGGTGAACGGTGAAGGTGACCGTGAGTGACCAAGCAGTGTTTTTGACACCTTCTGCTCAGTGCTCAGAAAATTGAGATCGGACTCATAGGATCTTCCTCTTCTGCGCTAGAGCCACGCCATGTCAGGTGGAGGCTACTGTGGAGTGTGCGCAGGTGCCTTCCTGGCGCATCAACTCAGGACGGGGGTGTCATTTCTTAAGAGAAAGGGTTGTTGTGAGGGACCAGCAAACAGGAAAACTTCTTAATTGCATTCCTGTGTAGCCCTACTATTCAATGTCTTGGCAGACTCGGCTTTAAACTTTAGAGGTTGTCACACTTGCAGAATGTTTGCTGAGGTGTGATCGAAACAGAACAATATGATGTTTCTTTTTTTGTCAGGCTCCTGGAAGTATCCAAAAGAAGCAGGCTTGGATTTGCATCCACCTGTCAAAGAGTTCAATAGGTCAAGGACAAAGGCAGCCCACTCATTGAACAAGACGACAGACTTAAAAAGAAAACGGACCCGTCATGTCATGCAAACACAAAAGCATCACATGCTTTGCCCAGGGTGCCAGAGACCAGCGACTCATATGGAGCGGAAAGTAGCGACAGCGAATCTGGCAACTTGATCGCACTTGGATTGTGGCAAGTTCAGGAAGGCCACTGTGCGGTGTCATATCATGTCATATCAATTCTGACGCTACGACACTATCACCGAGCCCTGGACATGGGAAGAACGAAAGACAAATCTGGAATAGAGCTAATTATTCAAGTCCTGCATCAAGTGATTCAAATCATTTCAGGTCATTTCAATCCTTCATGAAGTGATTTCAAGTGGTGTCAAGTTCTTTCCAGTCCTTCTCGTTTGCCACCCCAAGCACCGACCCGCTTCGGGCTGGTATTTTTTGGGTGCCACCGAGGTGAGGACGAGAGCGAGGGCTCCGCGCCCTCCAAGGTAACCGAACGGGACCCGCGGGCTTCGAGCGAAGCGACCGAAGGGGAACCCGGGAAGCGCCGGCAGAACATTCGAAGAAGCCATTCTTGGACCAAATTGATGGTTCTCATCATGTAATAACTCATGTAATATAATGTTATGATTCCATTTGCTTGAGGCAGCTCATCTAGAGGATGGGTCATGATTCAACGATGGGTCAAATTGCTACAACGCTGCGGCCTTTGAACGGAGTCACTGCGGCATTGGCCAGGCACGTCGGGGTCGAGGGACTCGAGACCCCTTGACCGTGAAGGTGAAGTTCACGCAGAAGGGCCGCAAGTTATTGTGCCTGCGGCTAGAACTCATGTAACTTGCTGTTGAACTCTTGTTTTGGCAAACTAACATGTTTGCATATATTTGCCTTGTTGCTAAATGGATGGCCGTACAAGATGGTACAAGCCACACCACCTAGTTCATGCATCGTGCTACTGTATTCTTTGCTAATGATATACATATACATGTGCACGTATATATATATATATATTAAGCTTAGTACGGCAGTACGATGCACATTGATGCACAGTGTATACAACTTCAAAATGCTTGATTCATCGCGTTACCACATTGTAGACAGATATCCTTGAGGTGGCACGAGGGTCGCTCAAAGGCTGCGGAGCCAGATGAATCCTCTTTCGGAGAAGTGTGATGCTTGCCAGCAGCCATGTGATCGTGTGATGGCCATGTCTAGCCTATTCCAGCCATGTTCGGCCTGTTCCAGCTTTTTCCAAAGAGCACTTGGATTGCTGATTTCCTTTGAGGTATGAGATATCACAATGGACCACGCTTCGACGTTCCAAAGGCAAGGCGTTTCATGTGTCGAAGGCGTTTCATGAAGATCTGGCCTGGCAAGGCTTCGGCTGCTCTCCTCCTTTGTCGGATGTCGGCCAAACATGAGGTGCAGGACAAAGGTCCCAGCACATTGCGACTAGTCTGCAGAGTCGAGGTCAGCTAAGCAGCTTGGGTTCTGTAGTTGTACTATGTTGAACTCTCCCTTCCTGCCCGACCCCCTTTTGCAATGTGGGTGCAGTGTGATGCGGCACCTACCCAAGTTGACTCACAAGCCTCGGATTGGAAGCTCCTGGAACCTGTGATTTGTCATGTTCTGTCCACGCCAAACGGTGCATTAATATTCCACGGTCTTCGATCCAACCGCTGGGCCGTAGGGCTGCCCTTTATGATTCACGCACGGATCGTCACCAGCGGCCGCTGGTCGCTGCTCAGGAAAGGATCTGCCGGCATTGTCAGGGGCCGAGGGAAGTGCGACATTCGGATCATGCTGAGTCTGACAGGTCCAATAACTTTGGGAGGAAAAAGTATGGCCAGAAACTCCCGCTACAACAGACCAATCCAAATCCAACCTCAACTGATACTGTTTCTCTCAGTTGCGAGCTGCTCGCGCACATGACAGCTGAGGTGATGCAGAACTTTGGCGGTGGCCGAGTGGTAGCAATCTCACCACATCCAGAGTCCACGTGCTGGTCTTATTTCTCCTTCAGACCTAGAGCCAGAGCTTTTCAAATTGTCACACTGCATGATTTGGTCAGGCAGCTTTAGATTCTGACTGAAATATGAGATGATATGAGATGATAAAGGACGAACGCAGATGACTGTGACCTGTAAGATGGCACGTCGAAAAATGTCAAAATCATGTTTACACTTCATCAGTCAACTCACAAAGATCGAGCAGAACAACTTGGCTTTGTCAGCCCGATGAGAACTGCAAAGGAACGCATTGCTAATTGCTATAGTCGTTGCTATGTTTTGTGTTTTTTGCTCCTTCGCGTCCTCAGCAGAAAAGAGACTGAAGGCAAGACAATGCACTCCTCCCCGAACCTGGAAAGGAGCGGCTGCGACGAGTTGTTTCCTCGGTCTTACAACAATCATTCTTTTGTTCAGCATGTGAAGACTTAGATCAGATATGATTGGATAGGATACAACAAGCCCATAGGCCAGCTTCGACGAGGCTAGAAGGCCACAGGAACCAGCTGCAGGGCTTTGGCACAATGTGTTTGGCATTCACTGCACATCAAGTGTCAGTAGTGTTTGTATGTTTATAGTAACTAATGTTAAGTTTATTGCATCTTGTTTTCAGGGAGCCATTATGTCTCCTGAACTCTTTCCAGACATTCATGTTTCACCGAGGTCTTACAACGTGCTGTCCTTCTAGCTGCAGCCGGACCAGCTGCACACAGCCCTTGGGCTCAAATGATTTTTTTGCGGGAGAGATCCTCCGGGAGCGACAAAGGCCTCTTGACAGGCCCCATAACGTGAGTTGCCCTTTCAGAATCGACATCGCCGTTTTCCTTAAAACACGTGCCAGGCTGGCTGGAGAACGAATGCCACATACCTGTTTGACCAAAGATGTCAACGTTGAATGACCGAAATTTGCAAATCGGCTCGGCAGTTTGGCCTCTCATTTGAGAAAGCCTGGCCCTGGGGACATGCTGAAAGCAGCCCCCAACGTCCATTATCTTGCCCCGCAATTTGGCAAAGGTCATTCATATAGACAAATTAATCTATATGACTTTGTTCAGGGACATCGACATCATTATTTGTCAAATTTTGTCAAAACTGCAGGGTGCTGTAAACCTAGATTTTAGTAAAGTGTCAGTTTTGTTGGCATGGCCAAAGGTGCATGCTGTTTGCTGGCTAAGCCATTCACATTCTATAAAAGCGCCTTTTTCAGCGCTTTCAGCAGCGGCTGCGCGAGCTTCGCTTTCGGTAGCGATGAAAGGAGAGCTGTCGCGATGAAAGGAGAGCTCTGACCAATCTGCAACTCTGACAGTGTTGGACTCCAAATCATCAAAGACCGAGCAAAAAGACATCAACATGATGGGACACCGAGTGAAATCTTTGCATGTTCCAGACACGATGGGAAAGATCTAGTGCCTAGGAGGAGGACTTCCCTTGTTTTCTTTGTTTTGAGGTTGAAAGCTGCCGTTTCGTTGGGAGAGATTGCAATCGACTTCCTGAGCCACAGGCCCAATGCTTGGATTCCAATTTGTTTTTACTACAAGCAATCTTCTATCTGGACTTTGTGAACAGATGGACCCACTTTGATCATTGAAAACACTTGAGTCAATTCAGATTCTGAGCCCAACGACCCGCATGGATCCACCAAGACCCCATGGATCCGCATGGGTCGTTTTGGAGTCCTCGCGGCTGGTCTCACTCAGGGAGATTGGCTCCTCCTTGGTGCTCTTGCAGACGGCGGGGTCTTGGGGTCCTTTCGGGTCGACCAGGTCTTGGGGCGGAGCTTTAAAGGAAAGCAAGAACTAGCTTTGTCTCGGAAAGGAGTGCAAGCATCCAAAATGAACCAATACTATCCAATACTTAAATACTTGATGCTGCTCGTTTCATTGGACACTTGTTCACCACAGCTACATGTGTCCTTTTTCATGCTTTTTCCAAACCCTTTTAGGACAACCACCCTTTGAGCTAGGTGCACGCAGCAGTGCGGCTTTGTTTGTTCCCAGCGCGACAAAACAGGCTGGACAAGAAGGCACAGTACGTTGTTCAAAAGAATTACTGACATCGTGACAACATCATGCGCATCCCTTTGTCGTAATTGAGTGGCTTGATGTGGCTTGTGAAGCTTCAAACAATCACTACTCATGGCATCACTACTCAGCCGTTCTCCTCCTTCTTCTTCGTTTGGTGAATCTCCTTCAGGTTTTGGACCTCTCTTTGGACACCATGCATGCATCATGTGCTACACAGCGCTGGCATGGGACGAGACCAGGTCGCGGAGGCCCAGTGCGATTTTTGCGACGTCCATCGGGCATGAAAGTGCACGGAGCGAGTGATGGAGCTTCGACCCTGGGACACACCAACCAAAGGGGCAGATGAGATGAAGAGAGCCTTCTGGCCTTCTCCTTTTGGTCGGAGTCAAGGTCACTGCCTTTGCTGCAGCAGTGGCTTTGCAGCAATGGGATTGTGCCAAGCGACTTGCCCTGGAGTTCAGCACAGGTCTCAGACTGGAGGACACTTCGATGTGAGGGTTTGAAGTTTTTCGACTCCAAAGCACGGCTCTTCGACTTTGCTTCTCCCCAAAGCACCCCATCGTGAGACATCGTGAAGACGAAAGGCTGGACTCAATGGGAGTGCTCCCGAGACCTTGCAGTTGGCCTCGGGAGCCTGGCTGTGCTTCTAGGCGCCGCTGGCGCGACCAGTCGCGGAGGTCCCATCCAACGTGTGGTTGGTTGGGATCGGAATCGGAGGTGAGGTAACTTTCAGATTTGAAGCCAGGTGACTTACAATCCAAGGTTGGCTTTCTTTGACGTTGGGCTTGATGTTGGCTATTCAGCTATTCCTTGATTCTTTTGCTACAGCGGTATATAAGGATGCCTACAGCGGTATATAAGGATGCTAATCATACGATGACATTCGTTGAATAGCCGATTTTTGACAGCGAGATAGCGAGTAACGAATGCAGAAGATGGAGTGGGACAACACCAATGTTTCTTCAACATTTGAACCATACATGGATCCGCAAACTGATTGCGTTGTGTGACAAGGAGAAAACCGTGCTGCTGTTTTGCTTCGAGTCCCAATGTGAGTATGATCCACCCGCTTGTTTGTGTGGAGAGGTTTGCGCAGAGCTTCGGCAAGCTTGTTGCGGGTTGGCACAGAACTGCTTGCAGAGGTTCCTTTTGGGACTGAAGCCTTCTAGACTCTAGACGCGAGTTCCTTCCTGGTGATATTTGTGCTTGAAATAAGTTCGTTTGTACTGTAATTAAGTCTTGCTTTTTGAAAAGCTTGTGCCACAAGTCCACGCATGCATTGTCAGCAGATAGAAAGGGTTGCCCCAAGTGTGCTGGCACCTGCCCAGTTGCTGACACTTGTGAGGCTTGTGCAGTCTTCTGCACAGAGAAGTGTCTCTGGCTAAGACTTGTCGACATCCAGATAGAACCGTATGTGAAGCCAGGTAGTTGCGGGCCAAAATTGGATGCTTTGGATGTTCTGGCTCTGGAAGCAGTGGCCAAGGTTTACTTCCAACATCTGAAGTTCGACAGCTGCTAATGTTTGCTTTGGTCAACATGCATTTGTACAAAGGCCGGACACCATGTGCTGGTGCTTCAGTGCTTCCACAGTGGACACAGACATGAAACAACATGATTCAGAGCAGACAACTTCATTTATGCTTGCGCTGGGTGCTGCAAATTGATACCTGGGCAGGTTTTTTGCTGAATCTTCCTGGCTTGTTGCACCTTCTCTTCAAGATGGAGGTGGACAATCTCACTGAGAGCCCAGTCTTTACCTTTTAGAAGTGCCACAGGATAGCATGCCACGAGCCACAGGCAGAAGCAAATCCAGGCCCATACGATATGGTCTTCACTTCTGCAAGTGCGCACAGTTGAACCCTGCAGGCTGCAAGAACAAGTTGTGCAGGTCGTTCTGATGGTGTGCTTCTTAGTTCTCCGATGTTTCAGCTGAGTGGAGGCAATCGTATTTCGAAATGTTTTTGCGGCGCGGCACAAGGCATGCATCAGAGTGGGTTGTGTTTCTGACAATTCTGACGTACCCGGACCCTGAGGTTCTACACTCACAGGGAATCCTTTGGATGCATGGATTGGAGGCATTTCGGTCGAGGCCGCGATAGCAATCAACTAGGAATGCCATTGCCTTTTAATTTTGTTGAGTGGCAACGCTCTTAGGTTGGAGGCCATCGCTAGTAGGTTGGACGCCATCGCTAGTAGGTTGGAGGCGATCGCCGGCCATCGCTATTAGGTTGGAGGGCAACCTTTAGGATGCACTCCAATAGTTCGGATGGGCTTTGTGCACATCAGAACACCTGGGTTCCTAGGTGCAACCACTTTGCACTAAGAGTTGGCTTGGCACAGTATAATTACTTTAGGGAGTGTTGCTTGCAACCAACTAGCAAGCCTTCACTTCATTATTTGCTAGGAGCCGTGCTTGGTGTATGCTGTGGATATCTTCATTGACAAAGGCACAGGCTTCTGTCTGAGAATTGCATTGTTTCACCATGAACTCACTGTAACTCACTGTCTCACCATGTTGTGGGGCAAACAACAACAGCAAACTGTGCAAACAAAAAAACAGGTTTCTCCTCTCAGATCCGCGCTTTTCTCAGGTCCCTGATACCGCTCACTTTCGGCCATCAAGCAACAGCACAGAGCCACGGAGCCGGCGGTCGACCGGCGACCCGGTGGCGACCCAATGATGCGCTGCCAGCCGCGACTTGACCGAAAACGTCAAGCATGTTTTTGTTAAAAAATGTTTGATCGTTTTGCATGGCATCAGACTCATGTGTGATGTTTTTGTCTTTCGCTGCTTAGGCCAGTCCCGTTCAATGGCTACGGTTGAAACTCTGCACACCCAACATTGAGGAGATTGGTTCGATGTATTTCAATAATCAATCTCTGAAATTGGTTCGCATTGTTCATTTGAAGCGTCCGTATTGGAGGCAGCATTCGCTTGGCACCGCAGCAGTGATTTTGATAGACAGCACAAACCCTCCGACCATTTTTAGATGAGGAATCATCTTAAAGCACCTCCGAGGGTTTATGCGGAAGGCTCACACTGCATTTTCCATGCTTTCGGTGATTTGGCGGTGGGCGTTGGTTAGATGTTTGAGTTTGGAATCTATGAAGTAGAAGCAACGCAGGAAGAAACGCAGAGTTCGATGGCAACAGGTCAGGCTGCCTTGCTGTAGCGAGCTGAAACAAGCTTGTTGAGCTTGTCGGTGGATGAGGCCAAACCTGAAGACCACCACATGCCAGCCAGAGCGATAGAGGAATGGTTTGGAGGCAGTGTGTGTGGAAATTGCATTGAACCAGGCTGCAGTTGGCTAGTCGCAAACCAGCTCTCCAGAGTATGTCTCAACTTCAGCAGCATCCGTGTTTTCAAGTGCAAAGGCGTTGCTTCTGATTTTGTGTTCAGGACAAAAGGAGTCCGAGACGTGCGGGCTTATTGTGTTCTGACGGGCAAAATAGCTGTATGATGCTGTATGGTTTTGCAACTTTTTAGATAGAAGGCCGGAAGACCTTTGAATACTTTCTGAGTCCGATGACATCATCACAGAACCTCAAGTGAGTGAGCACCATGCAGCTTCTTTTGCCCGAGCGAGGGATCATGTCTGAGCTCAAAACATCTAAAACGCTGGAGGACTCAGCCACAAGCAAGATTGAACTTGGACAATTACAGGTCATGCAAACCTATGGACCTACTGAGATCAAGGCATTGCCAACCAATTTGAGACTCGCTGCAGTGTCAACACTCGATCCAGAACTATCATGGTTTGCAGTTTGTATCCCACCAACGCTAGCTAAGCAACAATTAGAGCTTCAACACATGCAGTCTCAAGACCAACCTTCTGCAGCAAAGTTTCTTTCGCTTGCTCCTTCTTTGGTGGCCTGCCTAAGCCATGAGCTTTGTCCAATGTGAAGTGCATGGCCAGCCAGAGTGTTTAGTTGTGTTGCCTACTTGTCGCTGAGGCCCATGCATCAGTGGCTGTTCTTTGCCCTAGTCCAGTGAAGTCCTGAAGAACCTTTGAGATGGCAGCACCAGAAATGATTGAAGCAGTTGTTACAAATCTCTAATAGAGATGCCATGCAACAAACAGAATCTGTGTCATGTCTCGGAAGTGAGGTCTTCTTGCGCTATCTTTGTGGAGCTGCAGACGGAGGTGCAGAAGCGGCTTTCAGACTGGGCAGTTGATATCATATCAGTTGATGCTCGTCCCCGCAAATGCCAGTTTGCAACAGTTTACCTGTCCAAAGCCTTTGTGCACAGATTGAAGCATGTTTCAATATTAAAGGAAGTAGAGATAGCTCCGGATAGGTGACCGTGCAGAGTTGAACCATTGTGACCAGGCAGAAGCTCTGGAGCGGCTGAAATCCGACAAGGCGTCAAAAAGACCATTCGAAACCGAGCAAACCTACGGGGCAAAGCCGGGCAAAGCATAGTGACCTGCAATTGCAACCTCTACGAGTCGCACTCTCAACTTTTGACCACATTCAGTGTTCAGGTTGAACGTCAAGCATCTTCGTTGCAGTAAATAACTTGGTGCAATCCTTGATATAAACTATATCATACTATATCACCGTAACTCTCCGATACCACAGAACAATCAATAGACCGCCGTTGATATAAAACAAACCAAGAGACATGCTGTCCAGTGGCAGTAATAGTCCACTACCCCTGTCGGTGTTATAGACTCTGATGGAGGCACAGGCAGCTAGATGCGACCATGAAGAAGTCGCAACATTCATCAAGAGAGGCAGGGTTTGCAGTTTTCTTGGTCAGGCTGCAGTTCAGTCTTCACTGAAGTTGTGAAACACAGTGGATGCTCCAAAGAGCATGTTCCTACCTTTGTCACCCTGTGTCCTACTCATTTATATAGCAGAATTTGGCGGCCACTGACTGCACGGTGTCGTTTGGTCATTGCAGGCTGGTGGTCCTTATCCCGTGAAATGGTCCTAGCGTCACATGGTTCGCCGGAATTTGCCGCTGCCTTGGACAACTTTGCTCCTTTAAATACGATTCCGAGCGGTTGGCACACACACACACAAGCTGCACACCGATCGGCCCTGTTACATCCCATGTCACGATAAGTATTCTTCGGACTGCAAGGATATTTGTTTGCATGCCAGCAAGCAGATACAGTGGTCAGGACAGTGTCAGCATGGAAACATAGGTACGGTTGGATGCAAGCATGTCGACAAGGATTGCAAAAGAGCCACAACTGTTCTCTTCCAAGGGCTCCTTGGAGAAGGTCGTGCGCAGAGAGTTGACGCAGATCAAGCAGAGCCTTGGAATTGTTCATCGTGGTTCACCAACTGGAACTTGTTAGCCGTTAAACAAATAAAAATAAAACAAAAACGTACATCATGGAAGCGGAACACGTCCCCCTTGGAAGACCGTTTTACTCTACAACAAGGGGGCTCCGCTGGTTCCACTCCATGATTCTTGAAGGAAGGGTCCCATGTGTATTTCATCGTTTTTCCAGATGATGAATCGATCACAAGCAGATCCAACACAGACTGCTCCTCATGCTGAACTGTGAGGAGCTCGGATGAATTGCTTTTGGCCCTGAGCCCTCAAGACGAGAGTCGCCTGGTCCTTTGATGTTCAGCGGACTTTTCATCTTTCTTTTCGTTGGCTGCAAGCAGAAGACCGACTCACCTGCATGGTTGTAAGGAATTGGAATCGTCCGCTGTGCAACTCAGTGGGCACAGAAACTCAGTTGCATATGCTTCCGGGATGTCCCCCAAAAGGATCCATCATGCAAAGAATTGACCGGGGTAGTTTGTCGATGTTTGTGGATGATCCACCAATTCGTGCCTGTCTCGGACTAGTCGATCGATGTCGAGGATGTTGGATGATTTTGGTTCTAGTTCTCGTCGCCTTTTTCACGTTCTTTTCTAGCCGCTCAGGAACAGCTCAGCGGTTTTCCTCAGCATCAAATTCGCTCATCGATGGTCATCACCAGGGGCTTTGAAAGTTCCTCAATTTGCATTGGGCGGCTTTGGAAGAATCTTCAACAACTGTATATAAAATATGTGAGGGTCAGAGAATGGCTTTGGATGCAAATGTAGCGTCTCATTTTCAGCCACAGTGTGGTTTAAGGGCCAGACGCCTTTGTTGGCAGCAGCCAGTACCCCAAGACCTCGCAATACTTTTTGACCCAAATATGGGACCTGTGTGTGTGGCCTCTACTGCTACAAATTTGATGCATTTGTTGCTGATGTCTTGTCGTTGAGTCCTGTGGAAATTGTGGGTGTCATACTTTGGGACCGCTTATGCAGGTTCATTACTCAGTTGTTTCTTCCCTCAGGTGTTCAGGACTTAGGGCTTAGGGTTGAAGATCAGGCTAAAGAGCGACTTCGCGACTTCAGCCAGTGCGGGGTCAGGCATAAAACATTGCAAAGTATGTACTTTGGGCGAAAAGGATTAGCTGATTGTGCTGCATTGTTGACCCAAGGTTCAAGACGAGAAGATTGAAGTCTCTTCATGCTGCTTCAACTTTTCTGCCTCCGGTGACCATTCGCAGCTGAGAAAACGATATGCGTAGAGGACTCAGGAAAGAGCCGGGTCATACAGTTGTCATAGAATTATCCAAACTAGACTAGGCCTCAATCAAAATGAATAGACTTAGCAAGAAATAGTTTTCTGGATTCTGGATATTGCAAGCGTAAACCACCGCCTTTCGAAGCCTAAGCAGTGCATCACGACAAGGCTGGACCTGCACTTCTTTGGAGAAGTTGGACTGGAACTCAGCACCTGGCCCGACTTTGTTCATTCGTAAACGACATCAACATCGTGAATGCGTTCCAGTTTGTCTTGTGTGCAATGGTTTGTGTCATGTTCTTGTTGAATCTTCTTGACAGGTTAAAGCTTTAGCTCAGATCTATCATTCTCAATCGCGTTGTGTGAACATGTTCGACTTAATTCGGGTTTTGCCTCAGATCCGGATCGCTGGTCTTGGCAATTGGCCTCGGCCGGGCGAATGACAGCGGAGTAGCCTTGGCATGTTTTCAGCTAGAAAAACAGCATCTCTCTCATTGTCATGGATAGAATTATGATAGAATCCAAAACTTGTGCGGAGAATTGAGCATTATGAGCAAGTTAACCTTAAACATGTGCTTGTATTCCGTAGGTGGTTTCACCCATTTCTCACAAGGGCCTCAACGCCTCAACCCCTTGTCAGTTGACTTGAAACCGTAGCCACAACCTTTCCTGCTTTGCAAGGATCAGAAAGCGCGAAAGTGCCAACTGGCCGCGGCTTCTTGATGCAAAGAGTCGCCAAGCTGCAGAAACAGCATTTGTGGATTGCAATGTTTTTTGAAGCAGAAGGACAACTAATGCGGTCAGGATCGAGTCAATGACTGACCACTTGATTTCAAGTTGCTTCGACGATTGGCAAGAGAGGCAAAAGCCATAGCCAAGGTAAACCCGGAAATTTGCAGGTTTGGGATTCAATGCAGGACAATTGTAGTGCGGCATTCCGCTGGAACACTTGGCTGATGTGTTATTCTCCCATGGTGACTGTCTTGAGAGGACAGATGGAAGAGCGAGCTCAAGGAGTTTGACAAGCAACGGAAGGTTGGAGGGAAGCAGAATGGTTGTAATTAATATGGCTTGATATATGGTTCAATGTTTAATTAGAATGGTTGTGGAGGATTGTGGAGCTAGCTGGTCTCGGAGGTCTATGGTGCAGTGATTTAGGAATCTGAATACTCTTGATTCTGTTGCTGTTCTCGTCAGTACCAGTTCTTTTTGCAGGCCAAAGATGTTGACAGTAGCGAAGGAGTAGAAGCAGCTGAGGACCGGCTCCTGAAAGCTTTTGTAGCCAAGCTGGAATCATTTACTTTCAGAATCCAATAACAAAAAATACAGGAGGATGAAAATACTTACGCGTTGATATTCGGAGGTCTGCGGTCACGTCCGATTGCAGCCGCCGACTCTCCTTCGGCTCCGTAGCAATCAATGATCAAAGTTGAGATTTGTGATAGAGAGAGCAACTTGCTCCTCGTGACTTCAGGAGGAGCAGCATTCAAGTGGCAGGCACAAAGACAATACTGCTGAAAGCTTTGAGTGAAGATGATTCCTCTCTCTTGTTATTTACAACTGTGCGAAAGTAAACATATTTTCGCACAACTTGAGCAAGACGACTTCACCAGGCCATGTTAAAACCACTAGGAAGTTTCAATAAAACGTAGATGTGTCATGATGTGTCAATGACATTTAAGTAAGGATTGTGGTCGGGGATTCCTGGCACACCTTTGGATTCACTGCTGCATTTCAAGCCATCCGGATAGCAACTTCCTGCAGGCGGAAATGCGTCGACAGTCGGGCATCTCCCTTCTCCAGTGCAGGACACATTGCTCGGCCGGCCTTGCCAGTTTGGAGTGATTCAAGTTCCCGGCCTCGTCCTGCCTTGGGCTGAGGGTGTCCAGTCGATTGTTAAGTTAGGCACTCATGTAGCAACCAAGTCCAGCTTGGGATGCTTGAGCGCGTTGTTCGTGCTCCCATTTTCTTGCATTTTGTGAATGACCTTGGCAGGCTGTGCGAGTCCTACTGGCCACCAAGGACACACGGC